TTACAGGAAGTTATGGTTTACTGTCAAAACTGCTTTTATACATATTTGACATACTTGACATTGTCACCATGACTGTGGGTTTGCTAACCCATTTAAATATTTCTTTGCTGGGTCACCTGTCTATAACCACGCTGACACCGTGAATCGTGGCTCTTGTAGTTTGTTTTATATGAAGGGATTTACAACCATGTGAAATAACAACAAACAGGTTCGCTGACAAAGTCGCTGCCAAGCAATTGTTGCCATCCGACATAGAAACCCTGACAGAAGTGTAACACGTTGCCCATTGAGGAATCATGATGTACAGCCGTTTGCCACCGTATGCAACTCCCCAAGCACATAAGGTGTGCTCGTTATTCTCATGAGCCGTAAAATACAGTAGGGAAGTCTGTGCTGTTGCTTTCACTTCACCTTTTTGGTGCTATCTCTGTCTAAATGAGACATTTAAGCACCCTATGTTAATGGTTTAGGGGTAAAACGAGTCCAATTCTCCTTGATACGAGCTTGCAGGCTGACAGGGAAAATAAGAGACTGAGACAATTTGGTCAGATCTACAAACTGAAGAGAAGCAGCACCTCTTATAGGTTACACGCCTGACAATTTAAACGGATAAAGCCGTCCGTCTTCACGATTCACCCGTAAATATACTCCAATGAAAAATTAATGAGGTATATTTTGTCAAAGGATCAATTATTTATCTCTGCACAAGATTTCAACACCTCCATTAAGCATCTAGTCGGTCCCTGCAGGACTGTCATCTGTGCTCCTTCAGCACAGCTCACACGGTGAAAGGATTTCACAACACATCAAAGTTTCAAGCTCTTGTCCTCAGCTCCCTTTATTTCTGCACTTTGGTGTCTTTGTCCTCCCAAACGCACACACATAATACACATATGCACACCTCTGCTCCCACCACCGCCGCCGCCACCCTTGTGTCTTTGTATGAGACCCCTGCCTCATCCCCATTGTCATGTTAATTACCTGTTTGCTCTGTTTTGCAGGAGCCCACCATCCATCAAAGCGTCTCCCAGCTTTTCATCTCACACAGTGCATCTCTACCTGTAATTAGGTTTGGGGCGAGGGAGGAAGATGGATTTTGTTAGCACCCTGCAGAGGCAAAAGAAGACATTAGGAAGTCTCCATGGCTGTTCTGGGACCAGCCTTTAATGGTGTCTAATTGATCTGAGCTGTCATGGGGCCGTGGCTTCGTGTGGTAGGAAGCTGATTATCCTTATGTGTCATCCTCTGTGCACAAGCATTAGCTCAGCACCCTGGCTTTTACAGTCAGATAAGGTGGGTGCGTGCATGTGCGTGCACACAGGCGTGTACGCGTGTGTGGAGGCAAACAGAACGACAAGTTTTTATGTACTCTGCATCTGTGTGACGAGAAAGAGGGGGGATGGTATTCTTTTTGTGCTCATGTCTATATGTGCATTGCATTCAGGCGGTCACAGATTAGTATTGCTGTGTGTGCAAAGAGCGACTACGTATATGCATCTGTGTATGTGTGCATGTGGCGGGCGGGATTTCTACGAGTGTGTATGGATGTTTGTATTTATAGTGGCTGAGGAGCGGCTTCGCAGCGGTCAGAATAATTTAGCATCCAGATGTGCGGAAGCTTGAGGGAAATCGATGCAGACGATGGCTCCCAAGCAGGTGATGAGCACACTGTCATAATGCAGTGAGGATGGAGAGGGATTAATATTTAACAGTAATCTGGACTGAACAGATGGCCGTTGATAAAAACGCTGAGGAGTGTGATGATGAATTTACATCAAGGCCAAGTAACCACAGTAGACAGTAATAAAATAAGTTGAAATGAAAATGAGGAGGAAATGATAGTAACATCTTTTGGTATCACTTTAGTGACAGGGAGAAGACAAACGGGTAGGGAATAAGGGTGTAACAACTGGAGAGACATTTTTTAAAATTACTTATTAATGTTTTTTTATTAACTAACTTTTAAGTGCCACGTGTGATTTGGCTCATTTTTATGACATAGTTGTTGTGAAAGGACCTGTTTGTAATGAGATGTTGTTGAAAAGATCAGAAAGCTCTCCTCTATTAAAGGTGTCTAAATCTGAACCTACGTATGGAAGGAGCGAATGCAAAAATGGTTGCGTGTGTGTGTTTACTTCCTCGTGTTCTGTACTGTAGGGACGTCCATGCTGCTCTGCTGACCTTCAGCATGAAATGAAAAGTGTCTGATGCCTCTGGTGTGTTTGGAGGGGCTTTCTCTTTTTCCGAAGATGGACAGCCATGCATTATTGATTACAAAACACTCCTGCGATGCTATTTCATCTTTCCAGCACAGCTGACTGCGAATTGGGGCTTCATTTTATAGTTTGTATTAGTGTGTGCACCTGTTTGGACTGGCTGCATGGTTTTGTTTGTGTAGTGCGTTCTCCCTCTCTCCCTCTCTCACCTTGCGTTGCCTATAACACCCAGGGGGAGGCTAAACGGTAGACATGCAGAAACAACTCCCTTATCTCTACATCCCCTCTGCACAGTGCACTGACAGAGACTTGCACAAGACAAAAGGCGAACGTAGGCAGAGACAGACCAATGTGGAACAATGGGAGGGTTAGAACACCAACTCTGTCACGTCTAACAGCACATGTTTGACTTTATTCTGAGCTTTGTGTTATAGCAGTTATTAAAACACACATCTGTGTACATGCTGTATGCTTGTATGTTCTAATCCCATGCTTATTTCTCTCTGATTTCTCTCTGCTTGTGTTATTTTGCACAACCTGCACGCTGTTAACATCTCCTTCTTATTCATTCTAGTGTTGTGTTCTAGCTGTTGCTGAGTGTGAGATGTTAAATATGAATTGCTTTGATTCTTATTCTATTCTTCTTCTTTCTGTCTCCTCTTTTGTAATGGCAACATTTCACGTACAACAATCGTTCAAGGTGCATTGTGTTTCGCGTGTGTTCATTCTTGAATTTTCAAAACAATACAGAAAAAATCCTTTGCATGGTCAAAAGCTTCTCCACTAAAGCGGAGACCCAGCAGAGCAGAGAGTGTTGCTGAGCACGGCCTTACCCCCCCCCCCCCCATTAAACTTGTGTATAGTAATTTTTGATAGCTATATTTTTAATAATTAGATGTTCGTCTCGTACCACTACCATGTGCGCCATATTTGGAAGCAGTGACATGCAACTGTGTGCTAACTGTGGGTGGTGTGTGAGCTATGTGTGTTCTTCAACTTCAGTTGGAATGTCTTAATGACATTCACGACGTGGTTACAACAGCGGAAGTTGCTATAGCACATTTCATCCAGAGGTTATCTGAGTGAACATTCAGTTGGGACAGTGGCAGATTTTTTAAACAATGGTGTCCAATTAAATCCAATTTATATTCCAATTTCCTACATTTAACCTTTTAAAATTTCTAAAAAAATCAACGAAAAACAATTTTTCACACCGCCCGCTTGTATGCCTCACCCAGGAATTAATTTTCGGCAAAATTAAAAAGTACAAGCCATTCATAATTCATTGCCCTTCTCCTCCCTGCTCGTCACTTTTTTTAAATTGACAGTAAAAGCATTTTAGCATGGTTAATAATGAACGATACTTATTTACTTATCCCTCTTGGTGAAAAAATCAATATAGCACATGTTTGTGGCAACACGGGAGACGAATCAAGCATCTTGAACGCTTTATGTCTGATTATGGTCCTGAGACTCACACCTTTAAACTATGACACGGGTGAGATATATAGTCACCAATTATCAATAACAATAATTTTATGGTATGTGTATTAATTTCACTAGGGTGTCATTAATATATCCAGTATATATCTCTACAGGTAAATGTATGTGCACTGACAACAATACTCAGTTTGGATATACATTGTGGTATTTCTCATCCAATAAGCTACCACCGCAAACCTTTACGATAAATGTTCCTCTTGGAAATGGACAGCCTGGTGTGTTTTGAAAAAAAATGACTTTCTCTGCTTGAGTTTAATAGCAGACAAGAAATCAGTGATACAATGCTAATATGTAAATAATCATTAGGAAAAGTACATTAGGAGAAAATATAGAAAAACCTATTAATACAGAAAAAATATATAGTTTTGTTGTGACATTCTTTTCATTCAGGGTTCAAAAAAATGATTTAATCTGGAGGAGGTGTAAAAGCTAATAAAAAAGACAGGAATCAAACTCTTTTATTATATATATTATCTATTCATTTTGGGTGAAAGTAACCAAGTGTGTAACATTTAGGAGACAGTCTATTTGAACGATAATGACCAATACTTCTCAGGTATTTTTTCACTCTTTATTTTAATACCTGAATATAGCTACAATCTTTTGTTATTGTGTTATTTTAATTACCCTGTTTTTACCATATGACCTTTTATATCTAT